CTAGCTGCACCGCGTGCGCGTCCTCAGCCTCTACCCCGGCCCCGGCCTCTAACGGATCCAGTAGGGGTGCGAGTGCCTGATCATCTCGGGTAGCACATGTCCTCACGATTTGTGAGAGAATAAAAGACATATTGTGACAACAAAATCTTGCACGATAAGGAAATCAAATGAAGTGGAATTTTCCTAACAGTTACATAGCCTCTCGTAGATAAGTACATACATCCCCGATCCGCAAGACTGTAATAAATCGGCTTGTGATTCATGACTCCTATGAACCTAGAGCTCTGATACCAACTTGTCACGACCCCAGTTCGCCCTCTATGAACTATCGTGACGGCACTTAGTCTCTATGACTAGGTAAGCCTAACAAATGCGGAAAAGAAATAATTTGCAGAAAGAAAATAATATAAAACTAAAATAACAAAATGAAATAGTGTTTAAGATATCGCCTGACATATAACAATACAAGAATCTCAACCTAACACTTCCCAAAATCTGGAACCCCATGAATCAGAAGCTAAGAGATACATAATAAGCTCTAACTCCAGAAATGCCTAACAAAAAGGGAAAATACTGAATGTCTATAATATTATAGAAAGATAGCAAGGGACTCCTCGGTCTGCGGATGCGGAAGATATACCTCAAAGTCTCTACAGAAGCGCCTCGCCTCAAGGATGATAAGACTGAGTGGAAGTACCTGGATCTGCACATGAAAAACATGCGCAGAAAGGGCATGAGTACACCATAGCGGTACTCAGTAAGTGCCAAGCCTAACCTCGGTCAGGTTGTGATGAGGAAAGTTAGGGCCCTACTGAGGGTAATTGAAATATAAGTTATAATAGTGTAAAAATAAGACAGTATAATAAGTGCAATAGTAAGGAGTAGCACTGAATAGAAAGAACAGCACCAACTACTATAGAGGCAAAGTAAACACAGAGAGAAATACAGTCCAACACAGTAATAACAACCGGGGATCTCCCAAGATACAATCTTGTAGTCCCAAATATAAATATCCAGTGGATCTCCTGGGATACCGTCCCGTAGTCCAACTCATAATGCAAGGGGATCTCCCGGAATACCGATTCATAGTCCCAATTATAAATACTCAATACAGGGGGAATCTACCGGGTGCAGTCCCGTAGTTCCAATGTAAATGTGCAGGGGGATCTCCCAGAATACCATTCCGTAGTCCCAAAGTAAACATACATGGGGGATCTCCCAGGATACCGTCCTGTAGTCCCAAAGGAAACATACAACAACAGCAAGAAGAATACACAGTTCAATTCAAATTCCATACCGAGGTAAAATAGGTATTTCTAGCCTAGCATGCTGCACGTAGTCCAAATAAGGCAATTTGAGCAAGTAAAGCAATTAAATAAATTAGACATGCTTCCCTAAGCTAACAACAAGCTTAAATTACAAGTGGTATAAACATGGAAAGAAACACAATTAAAATTACTTAAAGAAAAAAAAACGGATTATTCAACAATTAGCACAAGTACGCACTCGTCACCTCACGTACAAGGCATTTCAAGTATCTATTATACCAAATCCTAAGGGGAGTTCCTCCACACAAGGTTAGGCAAGCCACTTACCTCGAACCGGCACAAAATCAACCCGAAACCACGTTCTTGCCACGAGTACTCGACTCCAAATGGCACAAATCTATTCAATTCAATTGCATAATGTAAGTAACACTTCAAGTAACTGATTCTACAAATAAATTTTAAGCTAATACGCGAAAGTAGGTAAAATGACCAAAATGCCCCTTGGGCTCACGTCTCGGAATCGGGTAAAATTTACATTTTTAGAATCTTCATACTCTCACGAGTCTAACCATACTAAAATTATTCAAATCCAATGTCAAATTCCCAATCAAAACTTGAATTGTTTGGTCTAAGAACTTTCCCCCAATTTTCATACAAATTCTGAAATTAAATGATGAATTCATATTTAGATTAATGGGTTACAAGAAAAAAGGAGTTAAGAATCATTACCCAATCGATATCTCTGAAAATCCCTCAAAACCTCGCTCTAGGGGTCGGCATATACCGGGTAAAACCGATAACCCGAACCGTTAATTTTTTATTGGGTTATCGGTATTGGGTTATTGGGTTAACGGTTCGGTAACGGGTTAAAAAAATTTTTATTGGGTTATCGGTTCGGGCTCGGTTTGCATTTTTGTTATTGGGTAAAAACCGATCACCCAATAAGAATGATGTAATTTACAAATTTACCCTTAAGTATATTCTAGGGTTATTTATTTTCCTAATTCCCTCTCCAGTCTTCAGTCATTTGTCTATCAGTTCTCATTCTTGTTTCCGTCGCAGCCCCCAAGAGTCAAGATGCAAGACTCATCACGAGTTTTCCTCCAGACATCAGTATATACTGCACAGAAGTGGGAGTGTGCTTTTGTTAAGAAACAACAAAAGTTGGCAGTTTACACGTTCTGGCAGTTTGATTTCTTTGTTTTATATATTGCAAAATTTTTTAGTTGTTTTATGTTATCGGGTAAATCGATAATCGAACCGTTAATGATATATAACCGATAACCGATAACCAATATCTTATCGGTTTGATTATCGGGTTATGATATTTGTAAACCGATAACCGATAGGCAAAACCGATAATGTTCAAAACCAAACCGAACCGACCGATGCCCACCCTACCTCGCTCAAATCCGAGCTCCTAAGCTCTAGTTTTCACAAAAATAGATAAACCCTCGATTTTGAACATAAACATTCTGCCCAGGTATTTCCTTCTTCGCGAACGCGGAAGGACCCTCGCGTTCGCAAACCACAACTTTGCTTGGTCCAGCTTTCCTTTGTTGCGAACACGATGCCCTGGTCGCGAACGTGGTGCACAATCTCCTCCTTCTACGCGAACGCGGGAACACCATAACAAATGCGTAGGTATAAGACCTCCCAGCTTCGCGAACGCGAAGCATTAAACGTCCCCCAGCCTTTGCTCCTCTCCGCGAACGCAAAGAAGGAAACTAGAACTGGGCTGCTGCAATTTTCTGCAATTTCTCTAATTTCCAAAATGACCCGTTGAGCATCCGAAACACACCCGAGGCCTCCGGGACCTCAACCAAACATTCCAACAAATCCTAAAACATCATTCAAACTTGTTCCAATCTTCTAAACGCTCAAACAACATCAAAACACCAAATTAACATCAGATTCAAGCCTAAGAACTCCAAAAACTCTCAAATTACGCTTTCGATCAAAAGGTCTATCAAACCTCATCCGAATGACCTGAAATTTTGCAAGTATGTCACATTCAACACTACAGAGCTACTCCAACTTCCGGAATTCCATTCCGACCCTTAGATCAAAATCTCATTAAACTTTAAAAATTCAACTTTCGGCATTTCAAGCCTAAATTAGCTACAGACATCCAAAACACAATCCGAACATGCCCCTAAGCCCAAAATCACCCAACTGAGCTAACAGAACTGACAAAATTCCATTTCGAGGTTGTCTTAACACTGATCAGACTACGATCCAAATTCTAAAGCTTAAGCTCTCATTTAGGGACTAAGTATCCCTAAACACTCAGAAACTCAAAACCAAACATCCTGGCGAATAAAAATAGCAGAAAAAAATACGGGGAAAGCAGTTAATAGGGGATCGGGGCATAAATTCTAATAGTGACCGGCCGGATCGTTACAAATAGAGAAAAAGAGTGAAGAGCAAAAATGCCAGAGGAGTGGGTACAAAAAAAGATTGAAGAAAGTAGACATATGTCAGCTCTACCATTCCCTCAAAAGATGAAGTGGGAGAAACTTGACAAATGTTTTGGGCAATTCTTGAAGATGCTTAAGCAACTTTATGTGAACATTCCCTTCACAAAGATACTCACTCAGATGCCTGCTTATGGAAATATCTTGAAGGAAATCTTGTGTAGAAAGAGAAAATTAGAGGAGACAATAGTGGTCAAGCTGAATGCCCACTGCAGTTCCATATAGCAAAACAAAATTTCCCAAAAGTTTGTTGACCCAGGAAGCTTCACCATACCATACTCGTTATGGAGTGAGAAATTTGACAAGGCCCTCTGTGATTCTAGCACATCTATAAATCTAATGTCTTTGTCTGTATTCAGGAAACTAGAAGGTGAGCTTGAAGTAATCAAATCAATACCAGTGTCCCTACAACTGGCTGAATAGACTACCATTATACCTGAGGGAATCATTGAGGATATTCTATTTCGGGTGGACAAGTTTGTGTTCCCCATATACTTTATTATGGTGGATATGGAGATGAACAACGAGGTACCTCTAATTCTAGGGAGACCATTTTTATGTACAGGCAGATTTATCCTTGATATATACAAGGGAAAATTATTCTCAGAGTGGGCAATGATAACGTGGTGTTCTAGAAGAAGAGGATGATGAAATACCCTAGTGATGAGGCATCTGGCTACTCGTGCTTCAAGCTAGATGTTGTTGGGGAATTGGCTGAAAAATACAAGTTTGACAAGCATGTGGGGGATACTCTAGAGAGGTATATTACTCAGTCTAGCACAATGGAGGATGAAGATCCTAAAATAAAGAAAGAGGTCGAAGCTCTTGAAACTGAGGATCAAGTGGTTGATGAGGAGTAACTAAAAGAGGAGGCTTCTAAGCCTAATATGGAATTTAAAGTCCTCCCCACTCACGTAAAATATGCTTTTCTTGAAACTAACAATTTTCCTGTGATTATTTTTGTTGACTTGATCGCTACACAAGAGCAAAAGTTGGTGGAGCTGCTAAAATGGCACAAGAAGGCCAATGGTTGGAGTATAGCTGATATTCAAGGAATCAGTGTAGCTATTTGCATGCACAAAATTTTGTTGGAGGAAAAATAGCAAGCCAGTGGTGCAACCCCAACATAAGTTGAACAAAAATGTGGACGAGGTAGTGCTCAAAGAGATTATCAAATTGATAGATGCGGGAGTGATTTCACCCAGCTCTGATAGCCAGTGGGTTAGTCTAGTTCAAGTCGTACTTAAGAAGGGGCATGACAGTTGTGAAAAATGAAGTCAATGAATTGATCCCTACAAGAACAGTCACTGGATGGAGAATGTGCATTGATTATAGAAGGTTGAATGATGCAACAAGGAATGACCACTTCCCACTCCCTTTTATTTATCAAATGCTCGAGAAAGTAGCTGGACAAGGATGTTACTGCTTCTTAGGTGGGGTACTCTGGCTACAATCAAATACCCATTCCCCAGAAGATATTAAGAAAGATGTCAAGTTTGCTTTCAATGCGGAGTGCTTAAGAGCATTCAAATTGATAAAGGAAAAGCTTGTGAGTGCTCATATTTGTCGCGCCCCTTTTTCTCGCGAAATCGGGTTTGACATGTAACAAATTTTTTATGGAAGGTGTTAAAAGAGAGAGTCTCCACCTAACGGGTTTAAGGTGCGTTATGGAACCTATTTGAAAATAACTCTGGTTTAACCAGTCTGCATCATCAAGATCGGGTAAGGGCTCAAATTACCTTGAACAGAAGGTGTTAGGAACTCTTCGAGGTCCACAACAGTAGGTCCCATCCGAACTCTAATTATATGAATTAGTCAGACAAATAAAGACAAAGAAAGCGAGAAGTTTGGGAAAATTCATTATTAAAAGATTTTGAATAAATACAAATAATTGATTTAAACACAAGGTAGAGGGTCCTAATTTTTTTAGCCTAAAGGATTACCCCGTGCAACATAAATAATAATTCGTAACTCCCTCGAGATCGGGTGTTACTCGTATTATTTAGCAGTCACAAACTATCATCCCCTGCTACCCGATTACTATCTTTAAGCTGTTACCTAAGGCGTACTAATTGATTCTAAGCTATAAATTATGTGTGCACTATCCGTCCCATGCCTACGGTCCAGGAGACATTTGGAATTCTATTTTGGATAGTTCTAGAATTAACTTAGGTTGCTCAAAAATGATAAAACTAGGCTTCATACAAAATAAGTTGGACTTCATATAAAGGCAATTAAGGGCTAAGGTTATCCTTCACACTTAAATGCACACAAATAGATTAGGCGTTTGACAGTTTCTGAATTGAGATGAGTTAAAGCCACTAAGTCCTATAGACATGGTTCCTACGTGACCTTGGAATTCAAAAATGCATGCAGTTTTAGATGCAAGGTGCAATCTTATAGACGTGATTTCTTAACAACTACATAGTTTGGAGAATCTCATATTGCATGCTGATTATTGGAATTACCGATTATAAGTGATTAAACCTATAGACATGATTTCTAAGTGATTTCCATAGTAATTGGCAGTGATAACCATTGGAAACACTCAGAATTACTTAATTTGATCCTATGGGCATGCTTTCTAATGATGGCATAGCTAAACAACAAAACAATATTTGAATGTTCAATATTAGCACTTAAAAGCGAGTGGATTTATCCTATTGGCAGGATTTCTACAATTAGTGATTGAAATTGGTTTTAGTTTCTATAGGTATGTCTCCTAAGTGAGTAATTATAATGACAACACATTAACCAATTAAAACCCTATAGTCATAATTTCTAAAATGCAGATTTATAGAACATAAACTAATATAATCACATGATGATGGTATGCTGCAATTGAAAGATTGGTCATTTTATTTCCTATATGCATGATATATAACAAACATGTAGAAGCAGAATATGTTAAACGAATTAAACACCTATAGGAAGCTTATCTAACACACATAGTAGCAGAATATATTCGAGCAAATTAAATACATATAGATAGGATTTCTACCTGTTTCATGCAAATATTAAAAAGTGAACCCATTTTACTAATTTTACTAACACCCCAATTGTTATTACAACATTATTACAGGCCCAATGAATGGAATAAATTACAGAGTTATAAAAAAACTATAGCAGGCCTTATACAGGCCCAAGGTATATCCAGCTCAGTCAGGCTTTCAATTCCGTATCCATACAGGTTTCACCATAGCCTAGAAGTCATAGTCACAAAATATCCAAAACCCACTAGCCAGCAAAGATTCAGAAAATAGCCATGTACACAAGCCCATTGGCTCATTCAGTAGGTAGAAAGGGGTAGGATGGAGCATTTAGGATAGGGTGCTAAGGAACCTTAGACCCTAGTGTGTCAGAATTCACAAGGGTCTCAATTGGACCTTGAGCAGTGCTCACACTAGGGAGGTTAATAGAGGAGATTCAGGGAATGACTAAGGACCAAGTCCGAGTGTGTCAGAGTTAACAAGGGTCTCAATTGAACCCCGAGTAGTGCTCACACTGGAAAGGTCAATGATAGAACCTAGATAACCTTGACTTTCAGCCGACTAAGAATGAGAACTCAAAAGAGCCCAGATAATAAGTGAAAGAGAGTAAACTAAGGTTGAGGGACAACACTGAAGGATACAAACATAGTCAAGTTGGGCATATAGAGCAGATAATCGAATAGGCTTTAGGTTTTAAGAACAGGCTTAGCAAAGATTCTGAAAAAAAAGTTCAAAACCTAGTGCATAAATAGTCACACATTAACAAAACAGGTTTGCATGATTGGTATACACAGACTCATAGTAAAGAAAAGGTTCAAATTATACTAAGTATAACTACTAGTGTTGCAAGAAGGAATCATAGTAATTGGCAACAGAATTTTGATAGGATGAGAACAGATCATTGCAACTAGTGGGAAGTCAAGATATGCTAGAAGCATACTAATAAGGAACAAGATCAAACATGATACATAAGCAGGCTTTAATCACAACAAATTCAGAATAGGACAGGAAACAGACTTATGCTATATAGTTAATATATATATATATATATATATATATATTCATGCTTTGAACACAATTAACTAGTCTATTAAAAGGATATGAATCATGTAAGTAAAGCATGTTCAAGTAATATGATTGATAGCAAAAGTAAACAACAAAGAGATGCAAAGGTCCTAAACATCAGTAAGTTGCGACACATAGGCTAGATAAGCTTGAAAGGAATCTAATTTACTCAAATCAGGTTTAGACATGCTTTAAACTATCAATATGAAGTTACGGAGGGCTAAAAATTGAAGTAGAACAAACAGAATTGCACACAAAAACAACCCACAAGAACACATTAAGCAAAACTTCAGGAGAGAAAACATATTCAAATCACAGATGCATAGGAATGAAACTACGAAGTCCAGTAACTCACTAGTTAAGTGAAAAAACAAGAAAGAACATAAGTCCACAGTATTCTGAATATCAACGAAGAACAAGAACCTAGAATTTCGGTGGCCTTGGCTTTCAGCCGGCTAAGAACCAAAGTATAGAGCGAAATAATGAAGGAATAACATAATAGAGCTTTAAATTTTTTGAGATTATAGCTATTCAAGTCTCTCTTAAAGGGGAATGAGGATAGGTTTATATAGCAGTAGAAATTAAACAAGCATACAAGGAAAGAGAGATGGCAAGCATTTTTTCTCATTGTCATTATGGAGCAATTTAAGGACACTATGGTGGAAATCGTACTGCAACAAAGGTCATGGAAGCCGGTTTCTATTGGCCAACTTTGTATAAAGATGCACGGGCATATGTAGCTACATGTGACAAGTGTCAAAGAGCATGTAACATTAGCAAGAGGGAAGAGATGCCACTAAACTCCATTCTAGTATGTGAAATTTTTTATGTTTGGGGCATTGACTTCATGGGCATGTTCCCATCGTCTCATTCTTATAAGTATATCCTAGTAGCCGTTGACTATGTCTCTAAATGGATCGAAGCAATCCCTACTAGGACCAATGATGCTCGGGCGGTATGCGAGTTCTTACGGAAGAACATTTTTACCCGCTTTGGGACACCTCGAATGATTATCAGTGGCAATGGCTAGTACTTTATGAACATGCAATTCGTTGTATTGTTATCTAATTATAGGGTCGCACACAAAACAGGAATCTCGTACCATACCCAAACTAGTGGGCAAGTTAAAGTGGCTAATCGTGAAACTTAAACGAATTCTTGAAAAGACCATTAATGCTTCTCGTAAGGATTGGTCTGTAAAGTTGGTTGAAGCTCTATGGGCATATAGAACCGCATTCAAAAACAACCATAGGGACTTCACCATTCAAATTAATGTAAGGAAAATTGTGTCATCTACCTGTTGAAATAGAACATAAAGTTTACTGGGCAATTAAGATGCTTAATCTTGATCTTAGTCTTGCAGGTGAACACAGGTTGTTGCAGATGAATGAACTGGAGCAATTTAGACTGGACGCGTATGAAGGTGCACGAATCTATAAGGAGAAGACAAAGAGATGGCATGATCACCTGATTAAGCCAAAAGAGTTTCATGAAGGGGACAAGGTCTTACTATACAATAGTATAACTAGCTTATTTCCTAGAAAATTCAAATCAAGATGGACAGGTCCGTATGTGGTAAAACATATCTCACAGTATGACGCAATTGAGATACAAGATGTGGAGGGAGTAAGAGCTTTAAAGTGAATGCGTACAGGTTAAAACCGTACCCTGTTGGAGGATTTGACAAGAAATCCTCTAGCATCATGATCAAATGAGCCTAAGTGACGGAATCAAGCTGACAACTATAACTTAGATCTACTTCTATCCCTTTTTAAAATTATTTTTAGAATATTTTAATTGATTATAGATTAGGACTAATTGTATTTTAGGAGTTAACAGAATGAATTTGATGCAGAATGAAGCTCGAGCACGAGGGAGTAGTCAAGAAGCAGGAAAATGAGAACTATGCAAAGTTTTTGCATTTTCTGTGTAGCCTATTTCTATGCATAAGGTGTCGCATTATTGCAATTCATTATCAGAGTTCGGAATAAATCAGAGAGTTGGCAGATCCCGGAATTTACTAATGTGTTGCATGGTGTGACGCTCCATGCATCACATTAGCATATATTTTCATCAGACAAATTCTCAAATATTAGAGAATTGGCAGACGGAAAAATACACTAGTGCGTCACACTGAGTGACGCACCAGGAAAGTTTTTTTTTAAAATAAAGAGAAATAAAAAAAATACCATATCCCCTAATACACTCACACCTGCCCGACCCCAAACACACCAAGCTCTCTCTGTCTATAAATATATATATATATCTAAACCCCCAAAAAGAAAGGAAAACCAAAACCTTCCCCCCTTCCCCAAGCTCTCTCTCTCTCTCTCTCTCTCTCTCTCTCTCTCGTTTCCCCTCCATCTCCCTCAACTCCCTCCTCTGTCTCTCTTCTTGCAACCAGATAAGTTCTTCTCTCTCTCTTGTGGGTTATTTTTGTATAGTCCTTGTTAGAAGATTTTAATTTGAAAATATAAATTAAACAAAATTAAAAAAACAAAGAAAAAAAATGAACTTCAAAATTTTATAGTTGGTTACCCACTCTCTTGTT